CATTGAAATACAATGCTTGATCGAACTAGATGGGTATACTCTTACTAAACTGTCTAGCTTATGCTTTTAAAATCTCATCTCATTTCAGGTACAGACGAGTAAGCATTTGGGGTTGCATTTGGGAGTGAGAGGCACAATGATTCTAGAGTAGTTCTTTGGTTTAATTTAAGTTATTCTGGATTGTGGAATAATTAGAATTGAAGATCTATTTGCTATGAGTTATTGCTATTAAATTTTATGTTGGATTTTATGAAGTGAGGATTAAGTGTTTTGGATTTGACCAACTTCTCGTACGTGTTAATAAAGATGGAGTTTCTTATAGAATTTAAGTTTATGGCATTTGGACACTAAAAGTTGTTTAGTTAAGGTAGCCTTACATATTTATGGGGTCATCCCTATAGATATGTGGCATTTGTTACATCTTGACCTTGGGGTTGGGGCATGACACATATGTCGATTGGAATGTTGACGCCTGTTTCATTTAACCTTTTTTTCCATTGTTCAAGCACAAATGTCCATCTCTTCATTCTCCTGCATAATCAAAAAGCATAAAAATGACATCGCAACTTTTCTCATCTAGAATCAAAACTACGAGGCAAACTAACATGATATATATGAATCATATATGATATCATTGCCCTCACGAACTCTACATTTTCAATGACGTTGCTCTGTATACTTCATATTCATTATTGGTAACTTGTAAATAAAAGAATATTCAATGTTAAAGAAAAATTCAGTATTATGTCAAGTTCAAGTTTTTCGTTAAATTCAAGTGAAATTTTCCTTTCGTCAACTTACATCCATCCGAGTCTGATAAATCTATTGAATCAGCTCCTATGGAAGAAAATTCAAAATGTAAATTTTTTTTTTGGGCGAAATTTCACATAATTGATGCTTTCTAATCTATCTTATAACGTTAAACTAATGTGATTTCAATTTACTTCTATAAAAAAAGCTATATAATTGGAAGTAACAAGTTTGTGTTCTTATCATTTTTGAAGCCATCAAAACATGAACTACTATATTAACCAAAAAATCATTAAGGTAGCTTACAGGCGAGAATATCACATAACCTTAAACAAAGTAGGACAGTAACACAAAAAGACAGTAAACTGGGAATGAAACCACAAAGAAGAGCTAGTAAACTTGCTGATAAAGGAAGAAGCGAGGAAGGGAGTACTCCTGTTGACAACAGGTCACACATCATCTAGTGGCTGATCTCGTGTAGAGCTGGACAGGAGAGCTAGTCTTCAATGTCCTAATGAAGCAAATGGAAGCAAGTATCATGAGCCTAGGTTGGAAAGGAGGCATATTGAGGCTTCCTCTGGGAGTGCTTCGACATGCTAGTTTGCTCCTTAGGATTGTTGTTCCTTGAATATTTTTTTTTCATCTCTACATTATGTTATTGTTGTATCTTAGTTATAAAATTAATAAAAACAACAATTAATAAATTTATTGAAAAACTATCAATAATCAAATATCACTAAAATAGGTATAAAAAAACATATAGATAGCATGTATCAATGAAGCAAAAATAAAGACAGCATATCGTTCTCAATATACTATAATTTTATAATAGTATTTTATGAATCTACATTACTTACGAAATCATCTAATTTAAGACAACCTTATTTACCTAAGAATATTTAGAAAAGTAGTGTAGCTAAATAAGTACAAGAATGCAAAGGTACTTCACCTTAAGTAAAATAACATTTCTTATTTTTGGAACTCTTAATCTTGTAACTTCATCTATAGGTTTATTAGAAATAAATTGGGCAATTTTTAGGAGATGATATGCCCTTACATAGAACAATTAACGCACAATAGCTAATTTGATCAAACCCTTAATAGGATAATAAATTTAATTTACAAAATATATTTTTTTATTAAAATATTAAAGTTACAATAATTCCTCTACTATTTAATAAAAAAATAAATGCTTTCTTTTAGGCAAAGACTGATTATTATGGATAATAAAAATAACTAAACCTTAAACCTTTACTTAGTGAGATAACAATTTATATTTCCAAGTTAATAGTAAATTAAGTCTTCAACTATAAGGATAAAGAAAGTGACTCAACTAGTTAAAAGATACGCAATCATATACACCAAGGGAATCAATACCGTACCGGCATGCATACTGGTTTTGTTATTAGAATGGTACGCACTGGATATCGAAATTTTTCGCGTACCATTTCGAATTTATTGCTATAAATATATATTTTTATAAATTAAATATCAAATTTTAAAATAAGATAATGAATACTAATATTTAAAACTATCATATTTCTATAAATTGAAAACAAGTTTAAAATAATCATTTTTAGTCTCTCAATTTTTAATATATACATATTTTTCTTCCATTCACTTTAAATTAAATGACTAAAAATGTGTATATTTAAATAAATTTAACAAAATAATTGATAAAATGATTAAAAAAATGAAGAATGGACTAAAAAAGTACATGAAAAAGTTAAATAATGAAAATTATATAAAACATTAAAGTTAAGAATCAAAAATGAAATTTACTCTTTTTAAATTTGAATTGAGTTATACAGACTATTTTTGTGTACCGGAAGGAAATTGCAATTGCAAGAAGCCCCTAGCCCAAAACAATGTCGTTTTGGGATAGGGAATCCTTTTTTTTTTTTTTAATTTGCCAGTGTGTACTATCCAAAATTTCGGTATACTAGTCGTACATCAAAATTTTGGCCGGTACACTAAATTTTGACCGAAATGATTGAATTTTGATCAAAATAAAAATTAATATTATACCGTTTCAAACCACTTAAAAAACTGATACATACCAACCATATCGGTCGATACAATACGAAATTAACTTTTTTGATATACACACATAATGATACGTGTTTAAAGTAACATAAAAAATTAATGCGTTGAGCTTTTCCCATAAGTAGGGTGTTATCGCCTTGGATTCTAGTGAAAATATAATTTAGTAATTGAGTTATGATTTTAAAAGAACCATTTTCCATTAATTTGAGATATTTATTGGAGATTTATTGATGAATTTAATAATTTTTATAATATAATTAGACAAGATAAAAGGAAATACAAAGATATGAAGTCCAAAAGTTACAACTTCCTCAAAACACCACAGTAAATGAAGTCCTAACCTCAACGAAAATAGCGAAAAATATAACGGATCTTAAATATGCAACCAACAGAAAACTATTGATAACCCAGAAATGATCCTCCATGGTTTACCAGGAAGTGGCGTGTTTGTTTTCCTACATGCCAAGCTTTCTTTCCGGTGGGTTGAGAAATATTGCCGTGGGTAGTTTTTAATCAATCTTAACTGATGAGAAAAGGTAATGAACAAAGTAAAATGACATGAGAAAGCCAATGGTTCCAGTAGACAACATGATTGCAGTTGCCATGATCATGGAATAGCCAATGTAAAGGAAAGCTGACACTGGTCCACTCAAACTCTGTAGGTCAAACACCAGGTAATTGATGGAGTAAAGGAACACATAGAGGGCAACAGAACCCGAAGCAAAGAAAGCCTTCCACCACCACCGCCAGTCCTCAACACAGAGATGCATGTAAGTAAGAACCACAGACACCTCAGCACAGACAATAACCAGAAGTAGAAGAACTACAAGCAAGAACCCAAAGACGTAATAGAACCTGCCGAGCCAGAGGCTAGAAAGGATGAAGAAAAGCTCAATGAATAGAGTTCCAAATGGAAGGGTTCCAGCACCAAGGACAAGAAGCCATGATGGATATTTCCGTGCAGGAATCTCCCTGGGAATCTGGTTGGTCCGCACTGGATATTGAATTGCCTCAGCTCTAGTCCCTAAGAATCCTCCCATAAGGGTGAGAGGCACTGAGATGCAGAACCAGAGAGACAACAGTTCAAAATACAAGGAAATGGGAATAGCACCAGTACTCTTGCTACCCCAGAGAACAAAATTCAATGCTGTAAGGATGACAAAGACAATTCCAGGGAAGAAGCCTGCAGCTGACCATGAAACAGACCTCCAACCTTCTGTAGTTCCCTTGATCATTCTCCAGAGACGTACAGCCACATACCCTGCAGCAATGCCCAAGAAAAGGTAAAGAATAATCATACCCGTGAGCAGCATTCCACGGGATGCTGGTGACATGAAACCAAGGGCCGCAAAAACAATAGTGACAACTGCCATTCCTGTAATCTGAACCCCATCACCTACCATCACGCAGAGAAGCTTTGGGCAGTCTGGCTCTCTAAAAACATCACCAACAACAAGCTTCCATCCAGAGAGCTCCTCATTCATCTGTGCTTGAGCCTCTTTATCCAACTCCTCATACCTTGTCAAGTCCCTTCTGACAGTCCTCAAGAAAATGACAAAAACAATACCAGCTAGGAAAAAGATCACCATCAGAGAATTCAGAATTGAGAACCAATGCACACGAGCACCTTCCATTTTCAAATAAGCATCCCACCTAGATGGCCACCTAATATCACTTTTCACAAATTCAACATCATAAGTAAATGATATTCTCTCTTGTTCCCTTATTATCTGGGACTTCTCAAGCTCCGAGGGGCAACTCACAGATGGGGCTTTGTCATAAATTTTGAGTTTTGTCATAGCATTTGGATCATATTTAACACTACATGGGACAACCTCAAAACCAACAATCTCATACCCAGGTGGCTTCTTGTTATTAGATTCAGAAATGACCCCCATACCTTCTTCACCAGTACCAATTATCTCCACACCACTTCCCTCATACTCATGAACCAAGATTGTGAATTTCAGATGATTGATAATGTAATCATCATTACCATTAGGTGGAGTATAGCCCACAGGGAAACCAGTCCACTGAATCTTAACCCCATTCTGATTTGCAAACCTCATTACTGGCAAATTGTCAAGTATCATATTCACTTGATACAAATCCCTAGTCCTCTGTTTCAAGAGCTTAACCTCATTTTCACTCAAAGGATGGGTAGTGCAGAGGTATACTGACTCATTCACATTCATTTGAAACCGATAAGGAGAGTTATCAATCTGATCTCCCATGAGAAGTTCACCAAGATTCTCAGCACTTTTCTTTATTCCCCCTGGTGGTTTACAGTAAGGGAGGCTATAATAGCTAAAGGGAAGCTCAGTTTCAATAGAGGTCAAGGAATTGACTTTGGCAATTATTCGTTCATGGGTTGAATATGTATGCATGTAACTTCCAGGTAGGTAAAACCCATGGCAAGCATGTGAAAACAAAACCAAAACAAGGAATACTCCACCAATTGCCCTCATTTTCTTCTCTGTCCTGTGCTTGATCTAAGCTATTTCAACATCAAATCTACACAAACAATTAAAAAACCTTAATATTATCAGTTTCCATATAAATTTCTTTTTCCAACTCCAACATAAATGAAATTATCCAAAAACTAATCCTAAAACATAAGAAACATAGATCCATTAACTTCACATGCAAAAACCAAAAAGAAAAGGCAAAATCAACTACTTCAACTAATACTACCCAATATCAGATCGCAATAACACAGGAATAACGAATCAGATTAGAGATCTAAATAAAGTCTTCAGATTCCAAAATAACAGCAGAAAGGCCTAACAATATCAATTAAAATAGGATATTATGAACATGGAAAACAATATTCGGGACAGACAAGATTGGATCCAAGCTCAAAACAGATATCAATCAGATACTTCAAGCGAGGATAAGGGCTGGAGGAGGTACCGGTGGCAGATCTAGCGGATTCCTGGAGAGTTCAGGGCAAGAGGAAGCGGATCTGATTCGGCAAAGACTCCACAAGAACGCGGCGTGGGATGGAAGCAGAGTGCTGCCTGCTCCTTCTAGTTGTCTGTCTTTAAAATTGAAGGATTCTGTTTCTATACTAGAAGAGATTAGAGATGGAATCGAAACGCAAAATAGATCCAGAAAAGATGTAAAAATGAATTTTGTATTTTATATCTGGGACGGAGTTGGAGATGTTGCCATACAAACCCTCAGCCGTCATTGTATATGGCAAAAGTATTCTTTCTTAGGCAAAAGCCCAAGAATAACCCTTACCTTCCTTACCTAGATAAGTTGGACGGTTTTAACCCCTCACCTTATAATATAACGGTTTTAACCTATAACATATAAAAATAAAAAAAATAGTCCTTTTTTATAACTTCTGTCCATTTCTCCATTATCTTCCGTTAACTTTCTCAAGCTTCTCCAAGAAGCCTACTACATTTTTTTTTGGGAATTCAAACCTTTTTTTTTTTTGAGAATTCTAATATTTCTTTTTACCTTTATTTTTAAAGATGATTGCACATGTATTAATTGTATATAATTTTTACATATTATTAAATAAACAGATATAATTAATATTATAGGTCTCAAATAAATATAAACAATAAATAAAATATATAATACAATCAAAAAATGATTTGGACATTTTTTT